ATCCTCGAGAATCTAATTGCCAGTGGAGGTTGTATGTTTAGATTTTGTGATTGTGATTTGAAAAAATAAATTATAGTTCATAGTTTTTTTTACTAAGTTCTTTGTATCCTAATGTCTCACCCTTCTGGTTTGGACAAAAGATTGAAATAAAAGGAAAAGAGAAAAAAAAAAAGAAAAAAAAAGAGAGCTTTGAAAATATAATTTCATTTTAGATCTTACATATGTGAAAAGAACTCGAAAAAGAGTGAAACCAAATGTAACTTGCGAGCCCTCGAAATCAAATGGTGTTCAGAGCACGTTTACAGTCCCAAGAACTGGTAACAAACGCATCTTTAATCAACTTTGAAAGTGTCCACATCCCCTCCCATAAAGTCCTTCAATCTTCGCTCCGGTTGCACCACTCGCTCTCACACACATAGAACTATACAAGAATCAAGAACGTCACTGCAAATCAATGGCTTCTTGCTCCCATTGGTGGCATGCACCTGTCTACTTTGTTGCCTCAGTAGTCTTGGCGTTCATAGCAATCTCCTCAGCATTGAATTCACCATCCAGCAATGCAACAAGACCAACCAGACCAATAAGCAATTACCTCTCATTGAATGCGTCAAGAACTCTAAGGGAATCTGAGTTGAATATCATGGCTACCCTTCTCTTGCTTTCCCCTGAAATTTTCTTTTTATCTCCCAGCATAACCATCTTTGCCATTAAAGACTCTTCCCCTTCTAGTACCACCCTCCCTCGGTTCTTGAAAAAAATCCTTCAATACCACCTCTCCTTCGGAACTATCCACGGAGGATGTCTTTAAGAAACCTCAAGGCAGTTGCTTCCCAGCACTTGCCGATCAAAAGAAACTTGCTGTAACTAGGATTGATGAGAAAGAAAGACTGCTTGAGATCAATCATGTAATGGTATCACAGCCTGACATGGTTCTTGAAAGACATTGCAACTCATGGTGTTCTTGCACCACTTTCATCACTGAGGTCTAAAGATGTTTCTCTGGATGGTAGCCTATTCAAGCTCCAACCTGTGATGCAATTTCCAATTTAGTTTCAGATGCTAATGACCCCAAGAACATTGTTGAATGGACAAGGATTATCCATTTGCTTAGCTCCCACAGAATTGTGTTATTTGCAATTGGATTGAATTCTGTTATTAACAGGATTCTTGCGGATCACAAAAGCTTAGGGTTCTGTAACAATCTTTGCTTCTTCAGAATTTGAGCTTGTGGCATCTTCATCTCCGATGCTTGAGAAGATTGTGAGGTTTCACATACTGCTTCTAAGAATTACATACATTGAACTTGCTGCATTACCACATAAACAACGGCTGATGACATTGCTCCCTTGTGAAGATCTTGAGATTATTAATGGTGCAAATGTGATACAGGGTTTGTCTATTAATGGAGTAGAGATTGCAGCACCAGAAATCTTCCCATCAAGGAAGCTCATAGCTCATGAGATTCCTCAAGCTTTCAAGATGGCTAAATTTCCTAATACATCAAGATAGTGGTTATCATTAGACCTGTTGATAAGCGTTCTGTTCATCCATGCTTTTGATGCACGGTCCAGAAAGAATAGTTCCATTGTTGCTCCACCCCCTGGATGTAGCAAATACCTTTGGGCGGTTTTTCTAATATGAATGAGTACTAGTGTGTTGAACTGGGATATAAAGACTTGATTGTTTCTGTAGTTATTAATTCAACCATGCTATTTAAGTGCTAATGGGTTTTACCCAAATATATATTTTTGCTGGTTGTCTGCTTGAGACCTTGCAGACAACTTAACCAATAGATCTTCATTTTCAGAAATGAATGGCTGGTTTACTGCTAATGAAAAACTTGGCTCAATCAAAGGTTTAAAAGGTGTAAGAGCCTTGGTGGATGGAGAAGCAAGGATCGTGAAGATGGAGTTCTAACAGAACATAATACAGAAACAAAGAAAAAGGATGAACACATGGATGTAAATAATAAGTTGGGCTAAAAATACCCTTATTGATTCAATTCAGTATGAGACTAGAAAGAAACCATCTCGATCTACAATTACTTGCATGAAGTTTACTTTGCTGTTCAATGCCACTACTGAATCTTGAAAATGGTATGGCCAGAAAAAAAAGGATATGCAAGCAAAAACTAAATGCCTGTCTTGTATGTACTTCGGGAAAAGACAACTGGAACTAATATTCGAGGGCAAAAATATAAGTAGTCTGCATGAAAATCTTACTGAATTGTTCATGAACACTTCAACTTAATGCGGTGTCATAAATCAGACACTAACAAGCCATTTATTTATCTCTGAAGAATCATGTGTCCCATGGCAAATTGCAACTTCCTCCTTGATGACAAACTCCATTTGCTAAAGCAGCAAAATAGTTGAGCTTCACTCAAAACATATTGCTGATCATCAAAGGAGATATTACATGTACCAGCACTGAATTTGCATTTTTTCTTTGACATCCATCGATTATGCCTCTTGAAGCCCTTCATTGATTGGTACAGAAAACTACAGAAAAACAATTTTGACAAGCCAAAGTCATTTACCAACTAAGGAAATGGATTCTACATAAAAAAGTATAGTAATCTAATTCAAAAGGCAATACTTATTTACTGTGCCAACAAAATCATACAAATTCAATTTTACAATGTTATGATTAAATCTAAATTTATTTATACTAGTTATAACCATCCAATCACTAAGGTTCATAATTATTAGTTTCGTTTCATATACATACAAAACCAAGACGAAAGTTGCTAGATAAAGCAAATGGCACAATAGAATCACAGTGCTGTTACTGAAGAGAGAAAAGAACCAGCAAGTCAGTCTGCCGATTCTCAACTTTCTAAGGAATAAAGACATAAACTAGACTACCAAAATACAATTCGTGTATAAAGAAACTCTCTACTTAGATTCAGAACTAATACCAACAGAGACACTGCAAGAGATGTGAAGAAACATGAAAAATACAAAATCTAATTCCTCCAATCTTAAATTTTAAGAAAAAGCCTGAGCTTATTCAGATTGTAGGAGCTTTCAATCATCCAATGGTCAAACAATGTTGCTCTTTTTTCTTCCCAGCTGAATTTTCCACTTCCAATGCCATTTGCCAAAGATTATTAAGATTCAGTTTTGGATTAATATCAACAAAGACTAATAATTTTCATTACCAAAAGCAAACTACAGTAACTGTCAAAAATCATCAACGGAATTACAAACAGAAATTAACAGCAACCCCAAAACTGATACAATAAAATCAAATCTAGGAAAAAGGACACATAATTACCGATGGAAATCATGAAGAAGAAGAAACACCAACTCTCATAATAATCCTGGTCATCCTCATCCCAATCAATGTAACATTCTCGGCCCCAACAAACATAGACTTCCTAAACAATCCAACAATTGCATCCACCTCCACTCCACCACATTCCTCTACAACAACCACACAAACCCCACCATTCCTCACAGTCCTCTCCATCTCCCCAGCAAACCTCAAAGGAAACAAAGCCTCTTCCAAATGAGCACTAAAAGCCAAATCAAAAACCCCATCAAAAAAGGGCAAGTTATTGGGGTCAGCCCTTTTAACTAATGGCAAAGAATCCACTATCTCAACACCAGTAACATCACTAACACCCATGTTATTCAGCGCCATCACTTCATGTCCAGCACCTGCTGAAACACAGAGTACTTTGGTTTCATTGTTCAAAAGATTCAGACTTTGGAAGAAAGTTGTGAAAGAAGAGACTTGTGAAAGCCAAGATTTTGAAGACCAAAGTTTCAATCTTTTCTTGGTAGGATCCATGTAAGGGTGGTTTAGAGAATGGTCGCATGTAGAAGAAGGGAATTTGAGGTGGGGTTTTGTAGGGGGTGTGTTTGGTGGGATACAAGTTTGTGGGGTTTGAAGGGAAAGGTAGATAAGGGTGATTGTGGCTATGGCTATGAAAACCAATGAGACTTTGTTTAAGAAATTCTCAACGTGTTTCTCCATTGGGTTTTTGGGTTTGGTTTTGTTAGTGGAGGATAGGAAATGGAGAGTTTTGATTTCGATGCATTGTTGATGATGATGATGGGGAAGAAGAAAGAGGGATCAAGCTGAGAGAGTTTGGACATGACAATGGAGTTTTTGTTTGCTTTGGTACGATGTCGTTTCGTGTGACAAAAGTTTGTTTTGAAGTGTGTTTGATAATGGGCTTGTTTCATACTAGATGTCAGAAAGGCTTAGACTACGGTCACCCTTGTAAAGCTTTCAACATCAAAAAGATTTTGAAGGGTGTTGTACTTTCGCGTGTTTTAAAAATATTTTTTTAAAAAAAATTAATTAATTAATTAATTTTATTTTTTTAATTATTCTGATATTCTAATATTATTTTATTTCAATATATATTTTTATAAATTTTTAAATAAAAAATATTTTATAAAATAATTATTATCAAACTACCAAACACTTCTCTTAATAATGATATATTCTATTATTTTTCCAAAAATTTTTTAACTCAGATTAAATTTTATTTTATAATAATAAAACTTGCTCAACTTGAGATTAAAGTTATTGATTAATTATATTAATTAAAATTTGATTATAATTAATTAAAATAATATTACTTTAATTATTTTAATTAGTTATTTTAAAGTAAATTTTAATTTTAATTTCATTTTAATTTTCAAAGTTAAAATAACTTGATTTGATTTTTTTTTAATTAGCTTACTTTATATATATATATATATATATATATATATATATATATATATATATATATATATATATATATATATATTAAATCTGACTTGTATCAAGTTTATTTGGCTGGATTTAATAACTGAATTTCTATTTGTACTTGAATTAGCGCATCCACAACTTCCTTTTAGTGCATAATTCAAAATGATACCATCGTCGAAGGAATAGCATGCTACCACTTATTACCTCAAACGGCCGCCTAATGTCATCTAAGATCATAAATTGAAGATAATGCATGCTAATGGAATAGCTCTTGCTGTGAGAAACAAGGAAGCTAAAACAAAAATATTGAGGCCGTGTTAATTAAATGCCATGAATTGAATGGAATAATTTTACAATTATGTTTCTGAAATCTCTGTTGTTGAAAAGTAATTTTGTTTCACACCTTGCCACCATTATGGGCAAGCTGGTCCATCCATGGAAAGCTCAACATCAACTCTTTTGGTACTGTGTACAAAAGCGAAACAGAGCTGTACAAGCTTCGATGGGGATGAAGACCATAACAGAAGATCACTATGCTAAGAGGCACCCATTTTAGCTAAGATATCTGCACAAGTTCATATGCATCACACAGCACATCTTCCCTGCAAAATTTCTTTAATGGCTTCAAGCAACAATACGGAACAAGGGTGATAGACGAGTTCATCTGAGCAGGCTTGCAACAGTACTGTTGGGAATCTGATTCAAGAATAACATTTTTTGTTGCCCAATTCCAAGCTTATTGTTGCCACCATATTGGTTATGGTCCATGTAAGCATAAAGGAACCTGCGATGCGAATATCAACCAACCATGTCCATTCCTAATTAAACAACCTGCAACCAAAGGGCCGAGATTTTACTAAATGAGCTCCCATCTGCATTTACATCAACCTGTTTTGAAGGAAGAAAGCTCCAGCGGACAGACCGCTAGCGGCGAGGAGCAATGCAGCATGTAATAATAAAGTTTAAAAGGTTAATCTCTGATTCGACATTAATATGCTGTAATTTGCGATAAAACCTTTACCCTTAATATCTTACATCCTTAAAACTTATTTTAATATTTTTTTTACTCCAATATTTTACCTTACTCCAAGACTTTTCACCTCAAAGGAACCCTTACATTAAAACTAAAAAAGCTATCAAATAAAGACATCATAGACACACAAGGAAGCTTTATAAGAAAAAAAAATCCAGCGCAAGAGGTGAGAAAGAATCCGATGGTTTAAAATCAATGAGTTCTTGCAAGTGCGCAAGAATCCTGCGTTAAAGTTACTTTAACAGTAAAAAAGGGTAGAAACCTTTTATAAAATTATGTGTTCACTATTTTTCATGGGCATAGCGTTGAATATCTCTACAAATTTCTATTTTGTCTCCTCTCAACTCCAATTAATCTTGGCAGATTGGCATTTTCGGAGACAAATTCTTGACAAATTAAATATCCTGGCTCCTCAGTTCAAAATAAGCCCTATACGATATTACAAAACTAATTGACACAATCAAACAAAAGGGTATTTAATGAGCTTGCATTAAATCTCACATCTCTTTCACAAAGAGCTTACTGTACGATTTTTAAATTAAAGGGAATTAAGGTTAATGCTACAAGTTGTTGCAAGGAAAAAAAATAAAATAACGAGCTTAAAGTCATGACACATTAGCACTAATTCAAGCGTTTCTGCACCTATAACCTAACTGTTAGCATATTGGAAACAAGAAGTTACTACAATGTCACCACAGCACATCTACTGCTGCTGCTGTATTCACTTTAGCCCACACAAAATCACAAATCATTAATGTTATTCTCTCATTCAGCACATCTTTCTCAAAGCAAGTAGGGATCTGCTCATTATAAGTAGATTCAAGAAAAAAAGGGTAGATGTGCATGGAACTGAATGGAATATAGATTAAATTAAAGAAAAGGTCCAATATTACAAGCAGTTTCAAAGACAAAAACAAAGAGGCTTATCATACATTCAAAGCACTGGTTGCGCCGTGTAACATAACCCTATTAGCATACTGGAAACAAGTAGTATTACAACACTATATGTTGTAGCAGCCTGAAAAATCAATAAAAATTATAGTTTGTCAAATACATAAGACAGTACATATACCTAAAGAATCAAGCAAACATATCTGTAGATTTTGTTGAGGGGATCTGAAGCATTCATCCGATGTGGCACCGCTTCGCTTCCAAAAGCTTTTAAGATTTAGCTGGTAAATCTATCTTTGCAAAGTCATTGATTATAGTAATTATAGGAAAAATAATAAATAACTTTGCAAAGAAGGATTACTAGCTTAATCATAAGAGCAATTATATATAATTACATAAAGTACTTTATCCGAAATTCATTGCTAAACAGTATCCATCCATCTATTAAAGCGATGTTACCAATAATTATAGGTAAAAAATCTTATATTCCATTTGATTGCACAAATAGAATATATATTCGTAATGTTTCATTCTCACAATGGATGACTATGTATGATGAAATTCATGAACAAAAGAGAGAGCAAAAACATGTTTCCCTCAAATCTTCCACTAATTGTGATAATAGAAAAATCAAAATATAAAATAGATTACAGTTACCCCATACCAGGAGAGTAATGGTTGAAGAGACGGATGAATTAGAGGATGGGAACTTTGGAGATGACAGCCGCCTGCTTACGTTGCTTATCACGTCCTTTTATAGGGACACAAGAGAGTTGGGCAGGGTTTCAGTTTGTTTATGTGGAGTTTTTGGTAATTTCATATGAATTAAACTATAAATAGTAAATACCTTTTAGACGTGAAATCAGCAGATTCGTCTTTTTTAATTTAGTTATAACTAAGATCAATGGCGTGAAGTATCTCGGCAGACTTAACATTCTGGCTCCTCTGAGTCCAAATAATAATTAATATCATGATCTTAAGGATTTTTTCCTTGTGTTCCAAGGCTTAAAAGGATCTGCTTTTCTTTTCTTGCTCTAATTTCTCCTTAGATCTGCTCGTATTCTTCTTTTTTTTTGTAACTGTTTCAACATGATCTTCATGATCCGTTCCTCAAAGTAACCACACACTTCTTCATCATTAAGAATTTTCTGGGCAATGGTGCTTTTGCCTAAGCCCCCCATCCTCACAAAACTAACTCTGTGGAGTACCTTGTCTGCATAAATAATCCACCCTTTTATCTCTTTTGCAACCTTTTCCAATCCGATCCTGTTTGACGTGTCAAAATTCTGACAGGTTAATCCTGTCATTTGGTGTACATTTTCTTCGATGCTCAATTGTTGCGGTGTCAAACAGCCCCCAAGCAATTCTCCATCTGCTCCATTTGCAAACTGATCTTCTTCAACTTTCTTGCCAGTCCGTTAAAAGAATAATGATTTCTCAGGCGAGAAATCGAAGCAGTGGTCATCTTTCTGATATTGTTTCTCTAATTCGGCAATCTGTCAGCCAGTCATCAGCTTCATAAATCAAGTCTTTGATCCTAATCATTTTCAACTTCAGAGCTTTCTTCTTATTTTTGAGGGTCTTGTGTCATTGATGAAGGCCCTCATAAACTCAAGTTGTGTCTTTTACAATAATGTTTTATGTGTTTAATGAGTGAAATGCAGAACTCTTACAAGTACTTGTTAAGTGTGTAATTTAACTATGAACAAAGACAACGGAGAGCCCTTCAGAAATTTTACCGTTGATGCTCTTCATCTTAGCATCACCTCTCCAATGCCAGGACATGATGGCTAGCATAATACAGTACAAGATGTTTTCTGCTTCCATTACAAGCAAAACGAAGATTCTTTATTCTTCACCCTTCCTCCATACAAACTTGTTGGGATGGGGAAAATTTCGGAAATTAATACAACTCCTGACCTCTGCATTGCGTAACAAAGGCATATCCTCTTCCAGGTTCTTCCAGTCTAGCTTTAAGCTCTGCAATTTCTTGAAACATAGACCTTCAACATTCCAAGTAAAGAATTTCCCATTCAATGATTGAGGACTGGTTTCGAAGAAGTTGATGTCTGAATCCTGAATACTGATGTACTGTAAATTAGAAAGTTTTTCAGGATTAATCCATGCAGGAACTGTTTCACAGTGATAACCCCCAATATACAGCTCCTGAAGGCTAGGAGGAGGATAAAGGTCATCGAGCATCATTAAAGTATTGTGGTCTTTACAATATTGGGCATTCAGCTCTAGAACGTTAAGTTTCTTGAGATTTGATAAAACCTCCGTTTCATTTTCTGCAATTTCACTGTGAGCATTTAAGTACATTCGAAGTACTCTAAGTTGGGATAGATCCTGAAGCTCAAGAAGTTGACAACAATGTTCGTTAGATAAACGCCCCATCACAAATCCAGACAATTCTTGAAGCTGGGAGAGCATTCCAATACCCCTGGGTAGGTAAATGAGAGGGCAAGACCTGAAGTCTAAGACCACCATAATTTTCAGTTAAGTTATAAATGGATGTAGCATGAATAAATCAGCGCAACCGTATAAAACAAACACCTGGAGGTTACGAAGTTTTTTAATTGAATATGGTAATTCTCCGATGCCTCTAACTCCACTAAGTTTCAAATATGCCAGGTGGTTTAACGAAACAATCCATTTCAGGAGATCCTGCACAGCGGTGGTTTCCAATTCAAAGTAAGATAGATCCAACACTCTGAGGGAACCAAGACTCTCCATGTCATCACAAACGAGTCCTTGAATGCTTGACATCATTAACAAGGCCCTGAGCTTGGGACAGTGTTTCAATGATTTAGTGCTTATTTCACTTGTGAAACCTAACCGCCTAGACTCTGATGTCAACTTCTGCCTGCCTTCTTCAAAGCTGCAAAATGACTCATCTTTTGCAATCACAACAGTCATATCATGAACCAGATCGTGCATTCTATAACTGTAGATTTTTCCATCGTAGCCTCTTTGGTCCACTACTTCAACCAGACATCTTTGGAATAACTCTGTGAGATATACGTACCCCCAATTGTTTTGTACTCCTTGCCCCGAATGAAACCCTCTCCAATCCATCAAAGCACTAACTGTCCAACTGGACTATCAAAATCTTCAGGATAAATAGAGAAGCACAGAAAGAGTTGCTTTAGATGCAGTGGGAGTGCATTGTAGCTCAGTTGCCGGCTAGCAAATACTGAGCTAACCTGTCCTCTAGTTGTCAATTCATGGAAACCTCTATAAATATTTTTCCACTCAACAAAGGAGTGCCGTTTCTGTGATAGCAAAGCTGGTGGGGATTCTGGACAGGTGGAGTACTGATATTTATTAATAAGAGGTTAAGCAAACTGATATAATATTTAATATAATTTAACAAATTATTTATATTCACAAGAAAATCAATATTATTAAAGATAAAAAATAGATACAAAACAAATATATAAAAAAGAAGCATTGAATCCACTCTAACTTAATTTCCAGCTCATACACACTGCTACATACGGCAGCAGCAGCTTTCTCTTCTTTTCTTTACATCATTCTCTACACACTATCCCTCTCTCTCTTTGTTCTTAACTTTTTGGGTGTCTATTTATAGACAAAAATAGTGCTGCTCCAGCTCATTTTTATTAATAGTGGTCACCTAACTTTTGCCTACTCTATAACTTCTGGTTACTGCACTAATAATTCTTTTTCACAATGGAAGCTATCTTCTTTAAAAAGATAATTGCAATTCCCAACAAAAGCTGCTATTGTTTTGATTGCTAGTGGAAGTCCGCCACATTTCTGAACAATATCTCTGCCTACGTTTTCAAACTGCTGATCATCGCATATCCCCTTGCTCGCATAAAATGCGTACTTGCAAAACAATGACCAGCTTTCATGATCGTCTGCAATTTCCAATCTAATAGTTTCCTTGTCAAGTAGATCAATTGATAAATCCATAGGAATTATTGTAACATGCTCGCTATTTTTCTTTATTTTATCTTTGTTGCAACAGATATATTGAAAAGAGTTAACTAAATTGAGCATGCTTTCATGGTGGATTAATGCAAACACTTGACTGCGGAGAAAAAACTAGTCCAAGAACACCTAACCTAAGTGCAAAAATGCTAGGCTAAGAAATCCTAACCATTGGAACCGGAGAAACTGACATGAATCCTTATATCCTTCCTAATTTATTATCCTTTAGCTGCGAAGCTCCCAGAAGACTGCAGAATTTATGTGAAAAGGGTGAAAAATCTAACACTAGAGGTTTTAGTTGACGTTTATAAGAAGCAAGACTTGCTGGATATCACAGAACAACTACAAGGATTATAGGATTTTAACTCCTTCTCATTGAATTGGTTCCTAAGATAACAATGACAGGATTTGAACCAGAGTCCAGCCCCTCCTACTTAGTCATTGTGTGGTGGGGGGATCTTGATGTTTCACTGAATATATTTTCTTGATTCGAAGGGCATATGGGGCTTTGGCTGTGTAGACATCTTTCAAGCATGGAGGTGGTTTGTAGAGACTGATTTTCCATGTTGAAATTAACTAATAGGAAGCCATCTTACATCCTTTTTTGAAAGAGAAGGATTATTTCTTGATTGAAATGATTTAACCAGTAAGAAGATAGCCCTTCCCATTTGAACTCACTCAGGGCCTTTGATGTGGTTGACTAAATTAAATTAGCTTTCCATGGTAACGTGGCGCATGTCATGACACCTTAGCTGTTGCAGCTCGCGACTCTGTATCGACTGTGAGGATTTTTCATTTCTTGTGTCTAGTTATCTTCTGTAAAAACAATAATCCTAAATCTCTCACAAAACAAAATCTAAGTGAACTAATCTGCTTCGGCTGGGTGTGAAGTTAGGGGGGAAATCTAAGTGAACTAATCTGCTTCGGCTGTGTGTGAAGTTAGGGGGGTCCTTATTTAGGAAGAAAATGATTCAAGAACAGCAAGCAAAAATGACGTGAACAGCAATCCGCCCCATCTAATTTTCAACTTCTCGCAGCTCCTTTCCATCTACCGATCTCATGGACTAGACTTCTAGGATGTAGTTGTCATCCCAGCATCTCACTCAACTGGACTTGCTCGGTGCGTCTCTTTCTGCGATCGAGATTTACAATGGCCCTGGAATAGAGTCCAATTTCGTTCCCTCCTCGAGGTCAAGTTGCCCGCAAAGTGGTGGAGACCATGTTACGAAACCATTTGATTCAACTACAACAAGTTTCTATACAAAATATTTTATGAATTTGATGATCAAAAAGGTCTCTTCCATTCTGCTCAGCACCTATACCGGTTTAATTTAGAATCCGAACATAAAATCGTGATAATTTATAAACTTGTTATTTATATCCTAAAATAAATAAAAAACAATTATAAAACTTATTTCTTAATTAATTTAATACTAAAAAAGTATAAAAAATAAAAAATAATTTGAATCAATATGATTAACTTGAAAACTCATAGGGTTATGAATTTATGATAAATTTATAAAAAAATCAAAATAAATTATGAAATTCAATACTTAATAAACCCAATATTAAAAAATTAAATTTAAAAAAAAAACAAAGCTTAAAAAAAAATCCTCAATATTTTGAAGACTAAAATAAAAAGAGCCTTCATATTTCATTGTTCTTTGCTAAACAATGGAATTCCAAATCTTTTAGTATATTTTAATTCTTAAATAAAGAGATTTTAATTCCAATGAGTTTTTCGTTTAAAAAACATCCTTTTTTTTTTTTTACGTTGAATCTTGGCTTAACATCCAATACTTCTTTTTAATTTTTTATTTATTAATAAACTAGGTAAGTGGACCCTATCATTAGATAAAACTTAATTTCAATATACATAAAATATTTTGATTAAAGATTACCCTTACTAGTCTAAGTCAAAAAAGATAAAAGAGATTCGCTTTTTTTTTTTTCTTTTTTTTTTATTTAGCAAGGAATCTCAATCCACCATCCTTTGCAAGATTTTTTTAAACCATTAGCGACCAGTCCCACGACAGAAATAAATGCTTGATTAGAAAGAGAGCAGACAGGGGATGCGCTAGCTTAATAGCCAACCTTTTTTCTTTTTTCAATATAGAAAAATAAGGCTAAGAAGACGTAAGCATTAAAAAGATAAAAAAAAATTAGATTATTTATTTAATTATATTTAATAAATTTGATTGATTTAAATAATATAAATAAAAGATATAATAATAATAAATTAATTAACAACATAAAAAAAATTAAAAAGTTAGACTTGAGTATGTCAAAATTAACATGCTAAATTTACGATTTAGTCGTAATATATACAAGATAATACTATTAAAAACATATTAAATAAAATTATAAAATTTAATTATTAAATAATTTAAATATTAAAAAAAATAAAGCTAAAACAAATTAAAAAAACATAAGTTAATCTGTTAACTTTATGACTATAAATATAAAATTGAAATAACTATATTGAAAAATTAAAATTAATTTTTAAAAAATTAAATATTAACCAAACAAATTTTAAATTAAAATCCTAAAGAATGATATTGAAAAAATAAAAAAATAAATAATAATTAAAATAATAAAAAATAAATTTTATATAAAAATAATGAATAATTAGGAAAAAAAACCTCTCAAGGTTTGATCGCGCGTTTGCTCTCCCGCTATGCATCACTTACCACAGAGATAAATAAATGAAAAGTTTCCAGTTCATCGGTGCACAGCAGTATCCTGACTTTCTTGGCTGTCTTGTAGTGTCATCTGTTGGTTCTCCTCATGAGAGAAGGAATCTATCACATATATTCATGTTTATGGAGCCATGAGATTAACATTAATTATAGGGTATTAGCAAGCAAGTGGGATGCTTTGTGTTCTGTGCTTAATTAGCACCCTCCATCAACAGCTTGCTTCCCTAGCTATCTAGTCGGTCCACGCAGTCTCAGTTGACACTAATTGTCTCGGGAAATAATTAATTAATAAAAAAATAGAAAACAATTTTAATTACTAACAAATTAACATTATAATATAAAGATTCCATTCTCCTTCCTCAATTCTTCTTTTTCTTCTGCATTGACTTTCAACAAAATATAGACTCGCAAATAATCTGGAAACCATGGCTACAGCCCTACACCATTGTTGAAGGTAGTAAAACCACCATCTACAACAAGATTGTGACCACTTACATATTTGGATTCATCACTAGCAAGATAAAGAGCAGCCTCGGCAATATCCTTAGCTTTTAGTGTTGTTCCCTTTAGATTTCCAAGCCCTCTCACAAGTTCCTCTATCTTCTCCATTTCTTCCTCGCTTGGAGCACCAAAATCCATGCATTTCTCATCATCATCTCCATCTTCCTCGCAACCCCTCCATGCATTAACAAGCATGGAAGTAGCCACCCCAAAAGGAGATATACAATTAACCCTAATCCCATATCTGCCTAATTCACAAGCTGTGTTCTTCGTTAACCCTACAATAGCATGTTTTGAAGCTGTATATGCATGAGGTCCAAGCCCTCCAATTATACCAGCTACACTAGCTGTGGAAATGACGCAGCCACTTCGTCGAGGCACCATGACTCTTGCTGCATGTTTCATGCCAAGGGCAGCTCCTCTAACATTGATTCTCATGATATTATCAAACTCATCAGCATCAAAGTTGATAATGCTTTTGTGCTTTGATTGATTGCCAAGAACTCCAGCATTGTTGAAAAGAATGTCCAGCCGGCCGTATTGAGAAATTGTTAGGTTGATTAGACTTTCTATTTCTTCTTCTAAACACACATCACAACGTACATAAACTGCTGAAGGAGATAAGGATTCAGCTAAAGCAATACCATTAGCATCCTCAATATCAGCAATCACTACCTTGGCTCCATGCCTCACAAAGAGTTTCACAGTGGCCTCTCCAATCCCTCTTGCACCGCCTGTTATAATCGCAACTTTTCCCTCCAACCTGTTTACGCAGAAGTAAAATTTAGAAATCAAGATAACATTGAAGTATAAAGAGTTTGAAAGACATGCTATGCATATGAGGTATTGCTTTGATAACTTCTTACATTTCTGGCATTGGCATATCATACGCTAGCATGTGTAATAAAGCCACAAAAAAGAAAGAGGGAGAGAGTAAAAACGGAGTGATGATCACCTTTTATATGAGAGAGATGAGGAGTTATCCTTGCCTATGACATGATCAATCCCTTGAACTTGAAGGGTTTTCTCTGGTATCACTTGAGCTAGCATGGTTGAAGGGGGAAAGGGGGAGATCAGGGATCAGGGAGGGGAAGGGGGGGTGATAGAATGAATATTGTGGTGAAAAAAAAAGGAAGGGCTTTTATAGGAATCCATGAAGGTATAGTGGCAGCCTGGGGTTGGCTTTTGTTGTCTAGTGGAAGGAACTTTCTTCGTAGGGTCTCAAAGGCCACAAACGTCGCTTGTCCCTCGAGGACTCTGTTTTTTCAGAAGTATATTAAAAACAGCATGACAGAAAACAGTACAAGAGTTCCCTCAGGCAGCCCATGTTACCAAAACTTTTACACCTAGTTATTCTCTGGCACAAAGTTTTATTTATCTCAGGATCTTAGATGAACAAGAACAAGGGATAATGTATTCAATGACTTAAGGGTAACTAACGATTTCATTATTGTCTCGGAGCAAGCATAGGAGACAAAGATTAAAATAATAAATTTTATTGTATTTTCTGTTTTAAAAGTACCTCAATTTATTATAAAACTATAAAAAATATATTTATTTTATGTTTCTATTTTTTAAATCAAATATGTTTGTTTTTTTCTTTTTATTTGTCCTTTATGTCATGTGACATCAACCAAAGATAATCTAAATTAATTTTCATTAATTTTTTTCCACTAAATAGTTGCCGCCACCGCTAATAATCTTTAGCATTTGAATCTTTACGGTCCATTCAGTTCACTGCATTTTTGTTGCAAATACTACTTGGCTCAAGCTTATGAATTTCATGAACAGGGAAGAAGTTAAGGTTGGTTATATATATATAAAAAAAAGGAGAGAAAATGAAAAAAGTGCAATAAGAGATTGTTGCCAAATTTGAAGGAATTGATGACTTTTTCAAGCCTAGAACTACGCTTTGTAGATTGCTCTTTTCTGTGCTTTTGCATGCTGACAAGATTGTTGTCTCCATCAGCATACAAGAGGAGTAGCTACAGAACATCTATTGGCTGACCAAGAAGATTTATTGGAGATAAAATGCAAAGCACCGTTAGGCATGGTTCCGGCTTTTATATATATATATATATATATATATATATGCTTAAAGAAAGATTTTGAAAGTATGATAATGGTTATATTTTAAAGTATTTTTTATTTAAAAATATATTATAATAATATTATTTTATTTTTTTAAAATTATTTTTGATATTAATACTTTTATATATATATATATTATATGCTTAAGAAAGATTCTTGAAAATATGCTAATAGTTATATTTTAAAGTATTTTTTATTTAAAAATATATTATAATAATATTATTTTATTTTTTAAAAATTATTTTTGATATCAATACCTTAAAATAATTTAAAAACATAAAAAACAAAAAAAAAATTAACTTTTTTAGAATATCTTTTAAACTTAAAAACAAATAGGTTCGGAATGAAACAATAAAAACCCAACTCCTTGTTATTAAATAGGGCAGGCATGGAGAGGAACAACAAGAAATTTGTTTGTTACTTATTGGCAGTTGCTTCCATATCCAATGATTTCAAGATTTTGGGAATATAACCATCTAGGTGATGGCCAAATGGTAAAAACTTAGGACTAAGAGGTTTGTTCCCTCTATAGTTTCAGGTTTGAGTCCTTAGTTGCTTATATGATGGCCACTGGAGGCTTACATGATCGTTAACTTCAGGGCCCGTGGGATTAGTCGTGGTGCGCGCAAGCTGGCCCGAACACCCACGTTAATCTAAAAAAAAAAAAAATTTTGGGAACATTTAGTGATCAGATAAGCTCAATAAAACTTGACTTCTATAAGACGCAAGATGTGTTTTATAAGTTAAATCGTAGCTTTTAGGCTAAATGTCCAGGGATTTCAATGGTAATATTTTGGTAGTTATACTGATATAATATTTAATATGATTTAATAAATTATTTATATTTTTTAAAAAATAATATTGTTAAAGATAAATAAAAAAAATTACAATATAAATATACAAAAAAAAATTACTTCACTCTAATTCAATTCTCATTACTCTCACAGATTATTGCAAGGGTTATTAACCTTAATAATTCCTTTTTATCTCTCACTTTACTCTCTAGATTATATTTTTATTTATAAACATGAATAACAACATAAATTAATAATAAATTATGATATTAATAATGACATAAGAAAGGTTGTATTATTTTATTAATTATTGTTACAACTTATTTAATATTATTTGATAATTACTCATCTATTATTATAATATTTTGATGAGTAAACTATAAATGATATTGCTTATAAATAACAACATCCCAATATATATATATCTGTGTGTGTGTGTTTCGATGGACACATAGGTTTAACATGATAATAATTAATTAAAAAAACCACATCACACATAACATATTGAATGACACTTGTCACTCAATTACCACATAACTTAAAGGGATTTGCACAAACTAATCTTATTAAACAATGGTTGGTGGTAGAAGTGATTGCTCCATTTTCCAATGAATGTGAATCAAAGTGTCTTACAAATATAAATAAAATTAACTAGAGCGAGCGAGCAAGCCAGCCACGTTCTTTTATGATGGAACAATAACGATAGTCAAGATTGGTCACTATGAGTCATGATGTGATGTGAGGTTTGAATATTATATTTAAGATTTGGGTTTAAAAATTCTTCAAAATTTGTATTGATTTCAACTATATAATAAAAATAAATTTCAGCTCGTGAACATAGACACAACTGAATTTCGTAAAATCATTATATTGTTTGTTTATTTATTTATTGTGATATTTAATCTCTAGCTAGCTTTAACTTCCATCCTTGACAAATATCCATAGTAATTTGACGTGAGCTGTGTGTGCTAGCAATGATCATAAAATTGCTTTTATCAACATCGATCCCTTTTGAAGGAAAAGAAAGATTGAGCTATCATGATTTGATGAGAACCTCTACTTGACCTAAAAGAATTCACGAAAGTGAATGAAGCTGTTCGTGCTGCTTAATTAAAGATCAGCGAACAAAGAAAATTGCAGATTGTTGAGACTTAACAATCATTAATACAAACTCTTAATTTTTTTTAGATTAATATAGGTATTCAGGTCAGATTCACACCGTTGATGTGTTTACATGGTATTATTATTATTAATATTATTATTATTATTGTAAGAACCATTTAGCTGGACCGTCATGTCACTAATGAATGCGATACCCACCAAATTAAAGTACGAACCCTAGATACTGCATGCTTATTTAATTTAACAGAGGGTTTTTTTTTTCTTTTTTCGGATTCTAAACGCTAATGTATATCTGGGCCCTGAATTCTTAAGGTTATCTTGAAATCAAATCTTAATTAAATATTTTTGGCCGGCGCCATGCATGGATTAATTATCATTAACTGTTTAATATTGGTGTTACGACTTATGACCTAATTTTGTTCATCCAAACTCCAACAATGCCGGTGCCCATACAGAACCATAAATGGATTAAACAAGGAGAAGGGATTTCCTGCTTCCTCCTACTGGACTGGTCACTGTTCAGATTGCAGCCAATAACATTTAACGAAGAATTCCTAGCTACTATGTAAATACATGTCATCAGTTCATATATCGACTATGTAAATGCCCATCGTCCGTTGTTTCTTTCTTCTGATTGAATTGTCCAATGAATAACGTGTTTAGAAATAAAAATAACGTGATAATAATTGTTTTTTAAAGTATTTTTATTTAAAAATTTATTGAAATAATATTTTTTATTTTTTAAAATTTATTTTTGACTTTAGCACATCAAAATAATTTCTAATTAAAAAAAAAGCAATTCTAAAATGCAAAATAAAAAGACTCGGCGTACTTGAATCAGAATGACGTGGGCAAGCCTACATTCAGAAGGTATTAGCTTGGATAACACTACAGAATTTCAAAAACACCTTTATAGTTGTTGATAAAATCATATTATAATTTCAGTTCAAATCTAATTAAAGAAATTCAGAAAATGATTAATTGTGCTCATGAATGTACTAATTAATTCATCAGATGTTTTGGATATGGATATAATAGTTTATATGAAATATTTTTTTGTCCCTCATAAAAAGAAGTTCATGCGAGGGTACGAAGTCCATTGAATTGAGCATACTAAATGCACAGAATAACAATCACATTTCTCACAATTTTCTGAGTGGAAAGTAAGAAGGGGAATGAGCATAAGAAAAAGACAAGGCATACACCACATTTGATGTGGAAAACTAATATGCATAGTGGGAGGGACCAGTTTGTGTCGGTCCAACGCATAAGTTGGATGAAAATATATTACCAAAAGCATATATATATATTGATGGGGATCTTAATTAATATCGGGCAGTGCTCACTATTAAAGGTAGACGGACCCAATTGGAAATGCTTCGAAGCAAGAATTGTGATCCCATATCACACAATCAAAACGTGATTGATATTAACAAAATAAAATAAAAAACTAATTGCAAAGGCAACTTTATTGTTTCAACCACAATGCCACCACACTTATTGACACCGTGAATTCACAAGAGTACCATTTTTTATTTATTTGATTTATTCATAATTGTTTTTTTTTATGGTTTGTTTCTAAGAGCTCGATATCAATTTCACTTGTCATTTTTTATCGAGCTGGATTATGCAAAAGATTGATTGGTTTTTCGTCTTGTAAGAAATAAAAAAAATCAAGGGACAATAATTGAATATTAATAAGAAATCATTCCTTAAAGGAAACAAATAAATTTCAAAATAAAATAAGAGAGAGAACAAAACATTTATCGATGTTGATGTAGGGAGAAAAAAGCGACCCACACCACCTATAATAAAATAAAATTTGAGAATAAAATGGGTTTTCCCACACACTAGCGCATGTTCAACATATATCCCTTCAACTAGTTTAGTCTCTGATTGTATAGAAACTCTTAACTTAAGTCTAAAATTACTATTTTTTAATTTAATTCCTAATTATTTAATAGCTCTTTAATTTAAACTTGTATTCAATTTGATCCAAGCGTAGTGCAAGGCCATTCGAGAAGAAAATAAAGATAAAGAGAAGGAAAAACGACAAACAACCACCCGCGTCAATGTATTTTGATTGTGTTTATTATCCAAGTTGACTATGAGGTGATTTGTTTACTCTTTTTCAAAATAAAATATATATACCATATTTTTTTTTAAAGAAAAAGTTGATCTATATATTTTTATTTGTCATCTAAATTACCTTTAACCTTATAAATTGACTTAGTCATATTGAATTAACTTCTACACAGTCAAATCAAAGCTTAACTAATAAAAATAATTAGATAAATAGATTTTAAAGTTGATATTAGATTAATGACACTAGATAAGAGTTCCCTATGGCCTACTTATTTTTTCAAGTTTAAGAAGATGTGGCTTAAGATTTTCAGCTATTAGATTTGTTTTTACTAATATCAGGTTTTTTCTGGATTTTTTGAGATTGCAGCTAATGTTTACTAAAGAAACTTGCAAAAAGGTTATTTTTTTATTTATATATGATTATTATAATTATACTATTAATAATTAAAACTAGTACATTCACTATATATAAAGCCTTCTATGATGGATTGAGATTCTAGACGATAACATGGGAATAAACTCACTTTCAGAGATTTGCGAAGATCGAAACTTAGAATACTTTCGAAAATGGATTCATATCATCGATGCTCAATGGAAAGATGGGGGGAAATTGAATGAATATTCAAACTTGAAGAAGCTGATTGAGATAAAACAAAGTTTTGGGGCTGAACCAGAAAAAATAAAAAAACAAGGGCTGATTTAGGCATGCGAGTTCAGTTCATGAAAATGATGTCCATGCCTGAGTTCCCTTATCATGCTTTAGACTTGCTGGTATCTGCTGAGGGATTAGTTAATTGGACCAGTCACAGAAAAGCTAGAATAAACATTATGTTGTCCATGCCTGCCATTGAAGAGCTAAATGGAATCTGGATGGTTCAGCCGTTGGAAAACCTGGTAAAGCTGTCATTGGTGGGGTACTGAGGGATCAGAAAGGTGTGGTGTCGTGTCTTTTCTTAGATTTTGGTGGAATCAAGGAGTCAAATGGGATTGAATTACTTGCAGTTTTGAAAACTTTGGAATTAGCAGCTTCAAGAGAAGAGTTATTTGGAAAAAGATTTATCATTGAATTAGATTCAGCAAACATGGTTAACTGGATGAGGGATAAGTCGAAACGTCCATGGAAATCTCATGATATATTCATGAGAGCTGCTAGATTTATGGCAGTGTTGAAACTGGTGCATTATGCTCATGTTTTGAGAGAAGGTAACCATATGGCTGATTCCTTGGCAAAGCAGGGCACTAACAAAGGCAGTGACCTTGTAGCATGGCTCTAACAAATATTTTAATCTATTTTCTTTCTTTCTCAGTAATGAATTGGGTGATTGGTGATCTTGTTTTTTCTGGCTCCATTGGATCGGAACTTGAACGAATGCATAGAGAACTCACGGGTTCTGAGTTGAATCGTCTTTGATTATGTTTTATTAAAGATTGGGATTTTTTTTTATCGATTCTTGTAATTTTTCTTTTTGTTAGGTTATAAATAGTCCAAGGGTGTTGAACATTTATCAAGCAATAAAAATAAAACATCAAACTCCTTTCTAAAACCTTAGAAGATGGCTTTTGGCGCCATTATATCAACAGGGCCTATGTTGAATAGAAAGTAAGACAGTGCGAGCAAGACAGGATTCCCGGACTGGTAAGGCTAATTGATTTTGCCAAAGGTTGTCAGGCGAAATTCTGGAAGAAATAACTGATCTTTTACTCTTAACGGCATTGAACGTGTCTAGAAATACTTTGACTAGAGTAATCCCTCGAAAGATTGGTCACTTGAAACAACTGGAGTCCCTAGATTTAACAATAAATCGGTTATCAGGTGCAATTCTATGTCCATGGCTGATCATGGTTCTTTGAGTCACTTGGATCTCTCCTACAATAACTTGTCAGGAAAATCTCCATCAAGCAATCAACTTTTTTCCTGTAATCTAGCATCGTGCGGCTCCGCCTATCACAGAGACATGCCCTGGAGAGGATATGCCTAAAAGTCCACCAACCTATAATGATAGCCAAGAAACGAAGAAAATGTTGATGAAGTCAAGTAATGGTTTTACACTGGTTTTGAGACTAGATTTGGTGCATGCTTTGGGGTGTGGTGTGGGTGCATTGTAGCTAAAGACTTCTTGGAGACCTTCCTTTTTCCGTTTCTTGGATGAATCAAGGGAATGACTCTATGCGACGAGCTTTTTGCAAGAGCGAAGTACACCAAAAGCGTAAGAGCTAGCTTTCACAAATGGCCAGCATGGTAACATTTATTTCTTCTTTATTTCTTTCATATGAAACAATGATTAAACAATATATTATGTTAGCATTACAGCAGTGAACTTAAGGTGTAAGCGTGAATCTCTTCTTTTCAAATATCTGGGTCGTTTAGCCATGTGGAAACCTGTCATTGACAAAATTAGCTCGAGATTATCTTCTTCGAAAGGAAGACATCTTTCTATTGGAGGCCGTGTCTGTCTTGTAAAATCAGTCCTCAATAATCTGCCAGTTTACTTCTTATCCATGTTTCCTATTCCAAAGAAGATCGCAAAAAAAAATAGAGAGGCAAATCAGATCTTTCTTGTGGTCTGGGGAAGAGGAGGGAAGGAAGATTTGCAATGTAAAATGGGCATCAGTTATTCTTCCCAAGAGCCAAGGTGGTCTAGGAATAGGATCAATCTTAGCCAAAAACAAGGCTTTGCTTTTTAAATGGCTATGGAGATAAGACAAATCTGATACTGGTTTATGGAGGGATTTGGTTATTAGTATCCATAAGAAGAAGTCACCCTTCAACATACCTCTCCAAGTGACTAAAGCAAGAGGTAGTACCTGGAATAATATTGTCAATGCATGTGCCACGGAGGAGATCATTCAAAACATAGTGAAAAAGGAGATTTGTGCCATGGTCGGCAATGGAATGGATACCAGCTTTTGGAATGATAGATGGATTGGGGATACAAGCTTGGCAGAACAATTTCCAAGGCTTTTCAATCTTTCTTATGACAGAATCTTCTATTGCTAATATGGGAGTTTGGGATGTGGCTATAATTGGATATGGAACTTTAAGTGGAAAAGGCCACTACAAGCAAGGGAGACCAGCTCATTCAATTATCTTCTTGGTTCTCTCTCAAAAGTCCTTCTATCCAAGCGTACAAGCAAGGGAGACCAGCTCATTCAATTCTCTTGCTTCTCTCTCAAAATTCCTTCTATCCAAGCAGGAAAATGATAGATTAATTTGGATGCCAAATTCAAATGGGAGGTACTCGGTAAAGTCTATTTGTGGCTTCCTTAATCCTCCAACTGAATCTGTAAACTTCATGGGCACATGGAAAGGCTTGGTCCCTCCTAAGATAAAGTATTGTAGTTTTCGACAGTATAGAGACTGAAGAACAGAGAAAAACCAGCAATATAGTATTGTTATAATTGTAACTGCAAGATACATTCTTTTATTGATTGAATTACTTTTTTATATAAGAGTTCATAACAAATTTCAGAAAAATAATGAGCAGATTTTAATAAAAAAGAAGCTGTTCTATAGCAGCTTTATTTGCAACTAACTTCCTAACTTATTGGAGATAATCTTGACTCAGTCTTCTCAGCATTGAAGAACACTTCTTCAGCAGCAAATGAGGCAACCATCAACAAGTATTCTGCTAGCTTGCCATTTTGGGCAGGATCAACACTAGAGGGATATTGTCTAGAAGAGGAATATTGAGAGCTGAGGATGCCTTCTGTCCTGTTTGTTCTTTGGAAACAGAATCGGTCGATCATATTCTAATTCACTGTCAAAAGCACTGGATAATCTGGTCAAAATTCTGTTATAGGCGGGGTATCTCATGGTGTTGTCCATGTAATCTATCAAAACTCTTTCAGCAATGGGAAGTTCTTGTTAAAGGTAATTTTCAAAGAAAAGTATGGTTTTTGCTATTTTTTGCCATCATTTGGTCACTTTGGCTGGTAAGGAATGATTTGATCTTCAATAATAAAGATCCTGATTATGAAACCATGTTCCTCCTTGTTTTAACAAGGCTGTGTGCACGGATTAAAACCATTCACTCTGACTTCCCATATTGTGCTCTTGATCTGCTATTATCTGCTGATGTTTTGTAAAAAATGGTCAAATGTAAAGAAAACTGGTCCAGTTGTTGGGTGGTCTCCCCCAAGAGAACAGATTCTGAAATGGAATGTCGATGGATCTGCTATTGGTAAGCCTGGAGAGGCAGGGATCGGAGGTGTACTTGGAGATCATCAAGGGATTATGTCAGGAATGTTTTCAATTCCTGTGGGAACTAAAGAATCAAATGAAGCCGAATTGATTGCTGTTGTTAAAGCCCTGGAGTTAGCATCATAACACAGACAGGACTTTGCTGGAAAGGAATTTTTCATTGAGTCAAATTCTGCAAACGTGGTTCAATGGATGAATGGACCAAGTATCAGACCTTGGAGGTATAAGGATCTTTTCAGTCTAGCTGAGAGATTTTCATCTCAAATATCCTTTGCTCATATACTAAGAGAAGGTAATCATTGTGCTAATGTCCTTCCCGAACAAGGTTTTGCTGCCCTCCTTGTTATGAGAGAACAGATTCTGAAATGGAATGTCGATGGATCTGCTATTGGTAAGCCTGGAGAGGCAGGGATTGGAGGTGTACTTGGAGATCATCAAGGGATTATGTCAGGAATGTTTTCAATTCCTGTGGGAACTAAAGAATCAAATGAAGCCGAATTGATTGCTGTTGTTAAAGCCCTGGAGTTAGCATCATAACACAGACAGGACTTTGCTGGAAAGGAATTTGTCATTGAGTCAGACCTTGGAGGTATAAGGATCTTTTCAGTCTAGCTGAGAGATTTTCATCTCAAATATCCTTTGCTCATATACTAAGAGAAGGTAATCATTGTGCTAATGTCCTTCCCGAACAAGGTTTTGCTGCCCTCCTTGTTATGCATTGAAACTCAGTTCCTTAAAGAACCGACGATGCTAACAGAAAGTTTCAAGTTCACCTACTTTTTCTTTTCTCTTTAACATGGAGTAACATGGTTTGTTGTTTGGTTGCCAAGAAAAATAAGCAAAGCTTGAGAAACTGAAACCCTCAAGAAATCTTAAGTTCCATACTGGCCCACCTCCTTTTTTTTTGATATTTTTCATGATTTTAATAACTAAAATAATTAAACTTAATATTCAAAAATTCCATATAAAGAAAGTAGTTAGATATAGATACATGGTGATGATTTTATTTTTTTTATCTTGCATGAAAAAACAGATGGGGCTCAAGATAAAATTTTTTCTTTACCAATTTTTAAGTTTTTTAAATTGATAAGTTAGTTTATTAAGGTTTTTAGAATATTTCTTAATTAGAGTTTTTATATCAAAATATGTTAAGAAATAAAATTTTGAACCAAAAAAAAACTTCACCTAATTTTCCCACCCACCTCTAGGTGGTTAAAATCTAGGATTGTAAATAACACATCATCAGTATTATTTTTTTGATTTAAAAATAAAAATATACAGACAACTACCTATTATTATAGAAAATAACATAAGTGCATTCCAGTGCTTGGCTTAGCGGTGGAAGGGGTTTGTCTCCTTTCATTGCACCTGGGTTCGAGCCCTGGTGTGCACGCCTGTCACCCCCGCGATGTCTTACATGCCTACTGGGTTTGCAGGGTATTCAATGGGCTGTGGGGATTAGTCGTGGTGCGCGCAAGCGGGCTCGGACACCCCATATAAATAATAAAAAAAAAAAAACAAAGACATGAAATAAATTTATTTCCGAAACAATATTGAAGCAAAATTATTTGTATTCAAAATAAGAGATACAAAGAGGTATTGTGTGTAAGGATTAAGATTTTATTCTCTGATTTTCCTTATTGTGCTCTTAATTTGTTAATTTTTGCTATGGTTTGGTTTCAATTGTCAAATAACAAGAGTGCTAGAGGTTCTACTTCATGGTCTCCCCTTGAATCTCATATGTTAAAACAGAATGTTAATGGTTCTTCTATTATCAAACCTGTCAAACCTAGACTGTCTGGTGTTTGAAGGGCTCTTATCAATCATAAAAGCTTGGCGCTGAGTTTTTTCTCAGCTCTTATTGGGATTAAATATTCAAATGATGCTGAGTTTCTAGCCGTGATTAAAGCTCTTGAACTATCCTCTTTGCAAGAGGATTTTATTGGAGTAAAATTCATTTTTTAATCTAATTATGCTGTTGTGGTCAACTAGATAATTAAGTCATCCAATAAACCATGAAGATTTTGTGAACTTTTATTCGTGCGTCTAGATTTTCTTCACATTTAGGTTCAGTGTATTTCTCTCATGTTCTGCACAAAGCTAACCATATGACCGATGCTTTTGTCAAATAAGGTGCATTGACTAGAAGTCGTGACTTTGTAGCCTGGTTTTGGTCTTCCGGCTACTGTAGTCTTTGTCATCTCATATTATCTTTTGACTCTTTGTTTTTTGCAAATTCACTGTTTCTTTTTTTTTAATCTTTTGATGCAATCTCTTACTTATTAAAAAAAAATCATTATCTTGTTTAAATTTGATTAAAATATACAACAACAATTTGACATACATGATCATGATTTTCCAATCTTATTCTATCAAATAATCACATTAAATCAATAGTTGTTAGATGAGATTTCCGGTTATGATTTATATTATTCTTTAATACACCCCTTTAAATAAAAGTTATTTATATTTGAAATTTGTACAGGTTTACATTACTTTATATTTATTTTTTATTAAATAAATAGTGATAATGAGATTCAAACTCGTGACTGTTTAATTATTAAGGCTTTGATATCATACCTTTATACTTAATTTTTATTAAATAAATAGTGATAGTGATATTCAAACTGTGACTGTTTAATTATTAAGGCTTTGATATCATACAAAAAATTATCTCAACTCAATAATTTAAATTATTAACTAGGTAAAATTTAAAAATCTAATTTATATTATTTTCTAACATGTTTTTTTTTTATTACCCAAAATTACCCAAATCCCCTGAATAATTCCTTAAAACAACTATTAAAATTGCTCGTGTGCTATGCGCAAAGTCTCACACAAAGTAGATTATAAAGTGATATTACAACACTTCTAACCACATCAAGATATACAAACCACATTGTGACATACCATGAACATTGATTAGTACTTAATTTATTAATTAAGATATACTGATTGATTTAGAATGACAAAGTCCATGACCATTTTCATAAGCTAATTCATTACAGTGCCAAAACTAGACCAGGCACAGACTTATTATCAGAGACCTTGCTTTGCCAAACGCTTTGGCAATTAGTTCTAGGCTGAGAAGTAATAGCCGGTGATGCTATTGCTGCTCCATCTCGAAAACGGGTGACAGTGACAGAAGTATTGAAGTATTCTTTAACTTGAGTGATAATCCCATTTGTGACAGTCCATGCATGAACCCATGAAACACTCCAATCTTTATTAAACCCTTCAACAAGCACCATTGATCCAAAGGCAACAATATTGGAGATAGGGTGAAAAATGAAGGATTTGCTTGGTCTTGTTGATGAAGATGAAGATGGTGGTATTGTTGATTGGTTTGTGAGTAAGCTTATCAAATGTTGTTGGTGGATTGGTGGACCATGGAACCACCATTCTAGGTCATGTGCTAGCAAGCGATGTGCTGTTTTGATGTCTTTGTTAGCAAGGGCTTCATATAGGGCTATTACCACCCTCTTGTTATGTTCTTCCTCTATCTCCTCCAGGCTTGCTTGATTGGTCGCCAGTTTAAGCTGCAAAGAAATGTAGTCTTAGAGGAAGAAAAGAGAGGTGATTTGTGTTTTGCTTTTGTTGGTTTTGGATTTGAGATTTGATGGGAGATATGGGGATGGCTTTATAAGGAATGTAAAGAGGATGTGGACGGTTTGAGCTGCGTGGGTGGTGATGAGTCAAGCACCTACTAAATCAAGCTTTAGTTGACATTATTTTGAGGCCAATATTAAATTATTTGCATGTTAAGTGAGAAACTTTTATATGTCTAATGATCGCTAAATTAAAAGTTTCATTGTTTTAATATTATATATCATTTTAGCTTTTAAATCAGAGAAATTATTAGGCATATCAATAATTATTTTCTTCTTTTTTTTTCAATGTAAATATGAAAATATTCAACATAAAATTATATATGGATTATTACAGAAATCTAAATCTTAAAGCATTGAATAATTTCTTGATAAATGGAAAGTTTTGCTTTGATACATATACTTCTTTTTGGACTCATACACAATACATAGCAATTCTTAATTTTATAAAACTCCGTGATGATCCAATTTATTTATATTCTTTAAGTTTGAAATTGTTTTCAGGAGTATATAACACAAAAATATTTTTTTTTATTTCATAACACAGTGCATCCACCTTTTTTTTTTAATGTTTAATGGGTCTCCACATGCTTAAAATATTGCTCTATGTTAATTAACATAATGTGATCATGTCCCTTAAAATATTATAAAACCAACCATAATCATGGATGGCATGAGTACTGTTGAAATCGAAGCCATGTGAACATATTTGTTTTTATAGTGTCCCTCGTGTTGAAAGCATGATATTACATACAAATCCTGAACTAAATCAATTTTGTCTAGTTCATGATGAACCCTAAACTCAGAGAATATACCTTTTGTCTACGAATAAATTAAGTCTTGCGCAAGTAACTTAATTTTACATTGCCTCCCTTTAATTAGGTATAGCAGCACTCAATGTTGTTATGCATCTGGAGAAGAGAAGTGTTTGTTTGTTGCATGTACAATTCAGAGGATATATGTGTTGTGTGCCTAAATTAAAGTTCTAATGGGATTTTGGATAATTGATAGTGGCCTCTGAAATTTTCCTTAAAAAAAAAAAAAAACTGAAAGAAAGTGCTGCTCCATGTCTAAGCAATTGCGATACAAAGACAACATAGGAGATCTGTTCAGGCAACTCTTAGCTAGCTAGCATATTAGGTAGACTCGAATGAGATGATCGATGCCATAATGTTCCAAGCTAAGGTTTCCTATATTGGACACTGACATAGACCTTAAACAAACATATTTTCAAAAGGCTCCTCGCATGCCATAACTTCGTAACTTGCTATGCATTTCAAACCAAGATTTAATTAGCCACAAAAGTAATCTGTCCGAGAGGCTCAACCAATAGGGCCAGCATCTCTTCCTTTGACAGTGGACCAGGTGTCAAGCTTTTGCTTGTGTGCCTAATACTGACAGAAATGTGACAATGACATGCATGACCTATAATTAAATTTTCTGTGTGCCCACCAACTTTACAAGCTTTTCAATTATGTGCGATTTGGGCTTGAAAAAAATTTTCATTGGAGTTCTCGACACTAATCTTTTTATAAGTTTCTCATAAAGGTTGAGAGAGATTAGGTCGCCTTTCGGCGTAGAACAGTATAGAGGAGGAAGATAAGAATACAAGATATAATATAATTACAGAGAAATCAGGAATTGCGGTTATCATTAAAGTATCCTCCCGCCATATTGCTTCCTTATTCTTAATTGATATTGTAATATCAGGATTTATTTACTTTTCTAGTTATAGTATTTGCTTTTTTTATTCTAGTTATTTTTTGCTTGAATTTTTTCTTAAAGAATTATAGTACTAGTCAAATTAAAATTTGCAACCTTTATATCTTTTCATTGTAAGGCACTTTTGAATTTAATAAAAAAAATTTTCTCTGAGAACTTTAATTTCCAACCTGTTGGATTTGATATTAAGTTTTCGTTAGAGAATTTAAAAGATTTTTTTTCTAGAAACAAGCAGTGTCTTATTTCCTCCTAAGCTTTTGCTATATCAGTTAGTATCAGAACATGCTTAATCTTGTCAAATAGCAAACCCACGAAACAAAAACAAAACCCTTAACGGCGGTGACCGCGAGGATAATTTGGTTACAGAGGTTGAATTCAGAATTTTCCAGCATAAGACATAACAAACCTTACGTGATATCCAAGCAGCCCTTGCTAGGCTGACAATAGGAAATAATCAGGGGAACATCAATTCTCTAGGTCATCAACATCACAGAAATAGGGTTGAAGCTTGTGAACGCCCTTCAGGAATCCTACTAAGGCAGCCGGTCTATGAGGACAAACTAAATGAGGATGAAGAAGAAGTTGAAGCTATACTTCAAGGAAACCAGAGGGGATACCAAAGGGAACCAAACCGATAGATGTTTCGAATGAAGATGGACCTGCCCAGTTTTAATGGACAACTTCAGATTGAAGGGTTCCTTAATTGGTTGGTATTAGTCAAGAGGTTCTTCGATTATATGGACATTCCTGAAGATAAGAATGTTAAATTAGTCATATATAGACTACTGGGGGGAGCTTCTGCCTGGTGGGAGCAACTATAAAGTAACCAGTTGCAACAAGAAAACTCGATGGTTCAGACATGGAATAAAATAAAATGACTATTACGATCTCATTATCTACCCCTAAATTACGAGCAAATTTTGTTTAAACAGTATCAGGAATGTAGATAAGGAATTAGAATCGTTGAGATTTTTCTTGGAAGAATTTCACAGGCTATCATCATGAAATAATCTGCTAGAAACAGAGGCACAACAAGTTGCCAGGTTTGTTGGAGATCTGCGTTGGACTATATTGGATCGTGTGGCGATGCAAACAGTTTACACCCTAACTGAAGCCATTGCATTGGCTATTAAGGCAGAGACCCAATTAGATAGATCAAAGGCAATGGTTGGGGCCAGGAATCCATTTGATAATAATCAAGCGACAATCAACAAAGGAAAGACCCCGATGACTTCAATAACCCAACCCTCTTTCTCTAACACCATACGGGGAACAAGCAACAGTGGAGCACCAATAAAGCCTGCCAATACCATTCCACCTGAGCTGATGCCCAGAAATCCTTATGCTTGTCCAAGATCAGATAAATGTTATAGATGTAGATTTCAACTAGTGTCCAAAGTGTACCCTGAACTTAAGAGAACCAGAAGAAGAGTGCATCTTCGACATAGAGAAAGATGATAACAAAGCAGCCTATACATATGAAGAAGAAGAAGTACATGAGGCGACGAATGAGAACTATTATTGCGGTTCAGGAGGCGACTAAGGAGAACTATTATTGTTGTCTCTTGTAGTTCAGCGGTTACTATTGGTACCAAAACAAGAAGAACCCTCTCAGCGGTATAATATATTTAGAACCAGATGCACCGTGAATAAAAGGGCCTGTGATATTATCATTGACAGTGGTAATAGCAAAAATATAGTATCAAAAGCAATGGTTACTAAATTGGGATTGCAAACTAGAAAGTATCCTGCACCGTATAAAATTGGTTGGATCGAATGTGGCACTGAAGTAAAGGTAACTGAAGTCTGCCACATTAAATTCTTAATTAGAAAGAACTATACAGAAGAGGTTACATATGACGTGGTGGAAATGGATGCTTGCCACATAATTTTGGGACACCATTAACAATATGATGTTGATGCCACTTACAGAGGTCGTGACAATGTTTATGTCTTCATAAAGGAGGGCTTGAAGGTTGTTTTAGGTCCTATAAAAGAAGAGTTTGCAAGTATTAAACCGAAGCCACAGGGAAAACCAGTATTGCTAGTGGACTGGGGCAAATTCATGGAAGAAACTAAGAAAGCTAGAGAGATTTTGATCATAGTAGTAAGAGGAGAAGTTAGCAGGGATTCTATTGACATCCCACCCACACTGCTGCCATTACTAGAGGAATTTCATGAGGTTATACTGTCAGAACTACCTAATGGGTTACCTCCTGTACAAGACATAAAACATTAAATCAATTTCATGCCAAAAGCTAGTTTTCCAAATCACCCCCATTACCGGATGAACCCAAAGGAAAGTCAGGTTATGCAAGCATATGGAGAAGAACTGATTGAGAAAGGATTGGTATAGGAGGGCATGATCCCTTATGTAGTACCAGCCTTGTTAGTGCTAAAGAAAGATGAAAGTTGACGCATGTGCATCGATAACTAGGTAATTAACAAGATCATTGTTAAATATAGGTTCTCTATCCCTCGATTAGAAGATGTGCTGGACATGTTATTCGGATCCAAATTCTTTTTAAAACTTGATTTACGAAGTAGGTACCATTAAATTTGGATTAGGCTAGCAGACAAATGCAAGATTGCTTTTAAAACAAAGGAGGGCTTGTATGAGTGGTTAGTAATGCTATTTGGATTAACCAATACGCCTAGTATTTTCATGCGATTTATGAACTAGGTATTGAAACCTATTAATGGAAAATTTATAGTGGTATACTTCAATGATATATTAATACATAGCTAGACCCAATCCATCCATATTGCACAATTGAAGGAAGTACTTAAATTTCTACAGCAAAATAAGTTGTACGTTAATTTAAAGAAGTGCAACTTTATGGCAAAATAAGTTGTACGTTAATTTAAAAAAGTGCAACTTTATAACCAGTAGCTTGTTATTCCTAGGATTCGTAATAAGTGATGAGGGAATTAAGGTAGATGAAGAAAAGATTTGCTCCATTTGAGATTGGCTAACTCAGTGAATAGTAAGCAAGGTTCATAGTTTTCATGGACTAGCAACATTTTACAGACCATTTGTTAGAAATTTTAGCTGAATAGTCGCACCTGTTACTGAATGTATGAAGAAAGGGAAATTCATTGGGGAGAAGAAGCAGAATAGAGCTTCAAACTGATCAAAGAAAAAAAATCATCTGCCCTAGTTTTGGCACTGCCAGAATTTGACAAATTATTTCAAGTAGTGTATGATGCCTTTATTTTAGGTATTGGTGCTGTACTGTCTCAAGAAGGCAAACCAATTGCATTCTATAGTGAAAAACTCAGTGAAGCTCGTCAGAAGTGGTCTCCCATTGAGTGAGAGTTGTATGCCATCTTTCACGCCTTGAAAGTCTGGAACACTATCTAGTACCCCAAAACTTCATTTTATTCAGCGACCATTACGCACTAAGATTTATCAATAGCCAGAATAGTGTCAACAAAATGCACACTACTGGATTTCATTTATACAATGTTTCACCTTCATACTGCAACATAAGGTCGGGCAACTAAACCGAGCAGCTGATGCTCTCAACTGGAGGACATTACTGTTGGTCACGTTACAAACCGAAGTCATTGGGTTTGATTCCCTAAAAAAGTTGTACGTTGGCGATGAAGATTTTTAAGATAGCTGGACAAAATGCTAAGTAGGGCTTCCTATAGAAAGCTTGCATATCCAAAAAGGCTATCTATTTAATGGTAATCAATTATGCATACTCAGGAGCTCACTATGAGCTCAAATAATTCATAACATACACAGTGGAGGCTTGGGTAGACATTTGGGGCATGACAAAACAATAGCCTTTGCTGAGTAGAGGTATTATTGCCCTAGTTAAAAAGAGACATTAGCAACTATGTTAAACGGTGCCTCATATGTCAGGCTGCTAAGAGACAATCCTAAAATACCAGTTTGTATATGCCCTTACCTATCCCAATAGCGCCTTAAGAAGATCTTTCCATAGATTTTATCTTAAGCCTACCACGAATCCAACGCGGATTTGATTCAGTTTTCATAGTGGTCGACCAATATTCTAAAATAGTTGATTTTATTGCTTATAAGAAGATTGCATATGCGATGCACGTAGCAAATTTATTTTTCAATGAGGTAGTGCGTCTGCATGGGGTTCCATAGTCTGTCATGTTTGACAAAGACACCAAATTCTTGAGTTATTTTTGGCAAACTTTATAGCGGTAGTTTAACACATCCTTGAATTTCAGCGGCACCAGTCATCCTCAGTCTAATGACCAAACGGAGGTGGTAAACCGCACTCTTGGGAATTTGATTCGCTGCCTTTCTTGGACAAAACCAAAATAGTGGGATGTTAATCCTTGGACAAAACCAAAATAGTGGGATGTTACTCTGGCACAAGCTGAGTTTGCTTATAACAATATGCTCAACCGATTCATTGGGAAGACACCATTTCAGATTGTTTATTATTATCCACAGTGTCATGCGTTAGACTTAGTTCCTCTGTCAAAACTACTAGGTTTAAGTATTGCAGCAGAAAATATGGCAAATCACATAAAGGCCATTCAAAAAGAAGTATGACAAAATTTAAAGGCTTCTAATGCCAAATATAAAATTGTAGTTGATAAAAAGAGGAGGGTCCAAACATTTCAAGAAGGGGACCTTGTGATGGTTTCTTTGCGCAAAGGAAGACTGCTTGTAAGAGCATATAACAAGTTGAAAGACAAGAAATATGGACCTGTCTAGATCCTATAGAAAATTAATGACAATGCATATGTTGTAAAGCTTCCTGTAGATATGCTCATTTCTTCTACTTTCTATGTTGCATCCTGTAGATATGCTCATTTCTTCTACTTTTTATGTTGCAGATTTGTATGAGCATCATCCTCCTGATATAATATCTTCTCACTTAACTTCTTCAAAGTCGGAGTTCTTTTCACGCAGGGAAGATTGATGTAGAACAGTCTACATAGGAAGAGCAGATTGCAGGATATAATATAACTGCAGAGAAATTAGGAATTGCAGTTACTATTGAAGTACCTTTTTGTCATATTGCTTCCGTATTTAAGATTCTTAATTGATATTGTAATATCAAGATTTATTTATTTTTTCAGCTGTAGTATTTGCTTTTCTTATTCTAGTTATTTCTTTCCTAAACAGTTATAGTATTAGTTAAATTAGGATTTGTAGCCTATATAAAGGTTGCTTCTTTTCATTAATTCAATAAAGAATTTTTTCTTTAAGAACTTTAATATGTAAACTCATGGATTTAAGTGTAATTTTTTGTTCGAGAATTCAAACGATTTTTTCTAAAAATAGGTTGCGTCTTATTTCTTCAGAAGCTTTCGCTACATCATTTTAATAAAAAGTCATTGATTATGATTGTTAGGTTATGACCCTAGTCCTAGAATCTTTTTATAGTAATATATTGAAAGTTAGTTTATTATAATCCCTACTAGATATATTTTGGATGCCGCTATAATTTAAAATTAATTGCATGTAGCTTACTAAAATTACTGGGCTACAAATTAATTAACATATATTAGAAGTCATATGCAATATGCAAAGATGTACATATGCAATGCATTGATTGGAGGATTCAGACAAACAGCTAATTGCCTACATATCGTTTAGTAATTTTCGCATTGGTATCCTTGACATGATTGTGTTATCATTCTTGGACGAGCACCAACAATGAGAAGGCATTAGCTAGCTACGAGTCTAAAGGCGCACAATGAATCCATATATATATATATATGTACAATTACATAAATTAGGATGAGCACTTACATTCATTATTAGCTGGTCTTGATTTACCTTTTCTCTTGATATTTACAAGTGGAGTTTACAAGTGGTGAGCACTTACGAGTATATATATATATATATATATAATGTGTGTGCGTGTGAGAGAGAGAGTTAGAAATTCGTAGGCTATATATCAACTCTACGACTCGAAACTTTCAAGGCTTAATCACTTGCATTTTTCTTGTGGGGTTAGTGTATCTCTACTTTACGGTAATTAGTTGTTTGATTATAAATCAATCTCTTGATTAACCTTGAAACTTCCAATTGTAAAATGGTATAATTCATTTGCTTTCGGTAAAACACCCACTTGATTAAATAAGATAATGTTTTATATACTTTAAGAGGGTTACTTATTAAGAGGTTTGTCATATTGTGTAGTTCAAACAAACTTTTTTAAAACGATAAAAATATTTTTTTATAATTTAATTGTGTAGTTCAAACAAACTTTTTTAAAATGATAAAAATAATTTTTTATAATTTAAAAAAAAAATTATGATTTAAAAAATTATTTTATAGGAAACTCGAACTTGTATTATGGTCAGGTTACCATGCATATATATATATATATATCTTTTAAAAAAATAAAAAAAATAAAAGACAAACTAAGTTTATGTCCATTAAACTTTAAATTTTATCTATGTAAATTATGAGGTCGTTTAATTATAATTTGAAATTATAATTTATTTATTTTATTAATCAACATGAACCCATCAAGATTTTACAATTGTTATTTCAATTTTAGAATTGCCATACTTTATACCAAAACAAACTGCAAAACTAATCAAAGCATATTTTTCTTTGTTAATTTTCTTGTATGTAATTCTAATTTATTGATGACTATTTCTTATTTCTATGGTTTGAACATCAAATCAAAACATTCATAATATTTTTTAGATTAACAAGAGCATATATTAAAATAAAAAAAAATGTAAAAAGGAAGGGATTAAGATAGAGATAGAAAGAGTGTATATTTAGAGAGAGAGGGAGGTGGTGTTGAAAGATAATATATATATATATATATATATAGCATTATTCTTATATGATATGGACTATAACTTCATAATTTGAAGAGAAATCTTATGGTACTCGAGGAATAACTAGTAATAATTGTAAAAGAGAGATGGATACAAGGAGGAGGAGAAAAATATAAGTGAGAATATTTTAATTATTTTTTTAAAATTCCATATTTAATTTCTTTTTAATCATCTATTTATATATCTTTTAAAATGGGGCTAACATATAATAAATTAATAGAAGGATGAACACCATAAAAAATTTCATAATTTCACTAGTTCCATATTTAGTATCATAAAAATCTAGATAAAGAGTTAATTTGAAATGGCCAAGAAATTAATAACGATGAACTCGAAATTAAAATTCCATGAACTATATATCAAATTATGTATCCAATTTAACCTTTAAAAAAAGGTTATTAATAATTTGGGCTTGAACTCAATGCCATTACCTGTTAGAGAAGCACACAATACACTTCACAGCCCAACAAATAACAACTTTGAGATCCATTCCATGCCTAAATTTGGGCTCTCGAGACCAATAACAAAAGGCCCAACCTTCCTCCTTGTGAATGACCAAAAACACCCCAATACTTTTCCATAATTCAAACACACCCTTTCTTCTTGGAAACCTCAAAGATCCAAAACCTCGTCAAGACAAAACCACAAGGCACGAACAAATCATCAAAAATCATAAAAACTTAGAAATGTTAAGGCTTCTTGGAAGATCCTCACTGAAGAATCCTCAATTGAATCCGAAACCCATCATCCCAATATCTTAACCACCTCTTCACAATTACTTTTTCTGCAAAATCAGGCTAATCATAAGCTTATAAAGGTAACAACGAAACCAACAATCAAAAGGCAAATAAGAACCTAAAGAAATCTGGTCTTGATGAATAAGAAACTGCTTTATCTAACACCACGGAGACTACTGATGAATCAATTTAAAACACTGACCTCACCTTCTCCTTTATTCATATAATGTTTCAGGCATGTGTTCATCCCAAACCGGTGAGTCAATTCTTGCATTGGAGGTCTTAAAGGGTGTGTTACCTGTTGGTCTTCCATTGTTGAAAGGAAATGAAACTTTGGATACCATCTTATTCTTTTTAGCCATTGCAAGATTAGGCTCCTCCTGGCATCTTGTTTGGTCAAATGTTTGTATCAATGTTGCAGACTTCAATATCTTCAATGAAGGTCTGATATCATCTCTAAGGCCACTAATGAAGCTTGAAATGTAGTATGAATCCATAAGTGAACGGTTCGAAGTTCTCATGCATTAAGTACTTGAGTTCCTCAAACCTTTCAACATACTCTTCCATTCCTTTTTCATGTGTCAACTTGTTGAATT